GCGGTGGTGACCCCAAGAGCACCAAGAAACTCCAGACATGGGTTGCGGCCCCGCATCATCACGGAGCGCCCCTCATCTGACAGATCTCGCTCCCCCGCACGCATTCGGGGTCGACCGCTGGACACGTCATCGACCTGGTACATACCGGCTTTGTCCCCGCCTCGAGTGACACATCGTGATGCTAGCGACCACAACCCGGGAGCTCGGCCCGAATCGATGTTGGATCGACTACCACCTCCTCGGCCCCTAGCTCCGTTCGCGACACATGGTGGACGAGAGCCAGGACAAACGACGCCTACGACACCTGATTCGGATTCTGATGGTTCGATACGTCCGCATCCAGGAGCATCGTCGTTCCGGCCGTCGCCGACGGTGGTCCATGGTCCTCGAGAACTTCTACAAGAATTCACCATTGCACTTTGCAATGCGTACCGTGAACCTTTCACGACATGGACACAGGGTGAGCTGGATGAAATGGTAAGACGGAAGAAGGATAAAGATTCCAGACCCACCTATAAGACCATTGCGCGGTTTCTTCAGAAGCCGATTGAGGAGGTCAAGCAGGCATGGAAAGTCTATCAACAACTTGAAGCTCGCGGCTAGCAACATGCCCGACACATGCAGCATTGACCATTGATGGACCAAATGATAAGCAGCGGAGGTTTGTCCGATTCGAGTTGTTGATCACATGATGTTAGCTTGATCGCATTTGACTCAATCTTGCTTGTCGGGTTGTGTGATGTTGTTGACATGCAGTGATGTCTTGCCTGAGTTGCTCAAATCATGTCGGAACAAGTTGTACAGACGTACATTACCTGGACCCATGGAGCGCAGCCGACGTGGTTACAATTTCATGGACCCGGGGCTCTACTCGACAGACCCAGTCGGCTAACTACGTCACCTCCACCCCCGCCAAGTTTACCATTGCTTCTTCCACCTCCTCCTCCTCCACCACCACCACCACCGGTGATTCTTCACCCACAGTTTCTGCCCTCGGTACGCAGCCCTTCGATCTCAGCCCCTCGCGGACAATCCTGCCCTACTTCTTCGAAATCGCAGCGCACACGCCGCTCGATCCACAGCAGTGACCCCTCCCGTGATGAAGAACCACGCAGTCCAGTGCGCTCGTCCAAACGATCCCGGACAGCATCAGCTTCAGCGCCGCGGCGATCTCGACGGCCCTTTACAGTGTTTTGTTCCAAGCGTGCTGGCCGTTCATCAAAATCCCCCTCGGTGGCGTGCAAGCATTACTGTCACGCCATCCTGCGCCATGGACGGAAATGTCTTTCTCCTTGTGCTCGTAGACGCCGGTCACTATCATTGCAGGTGTGCGCGACATCAACGACAGTGAAAGCTAGGAGTTTGCCATTTACGACCTCGTTGCTGCGTTTCACCTTGTGTTTGAAAAGTTGCCTCACTCTTCAGCGTATATGTGCGGTTGGCCATGCATGTGTTTCCTTGCCGCAGACCTTAGACTGGTTCAGCAGTTGTGCCGGCCCGTATTGCTGCTATGAACCCCCAGTATTTCGAGTACCAGATCGATAGAGGAGTTGAATGGGTTCGAATTTACTCTCCGGGCATTTGGAGGCCCGTTCCCGATGAGGCACCTGTTCCTGACCCACTGCACGCTTCCACGTATCGGGAGTGGCGCAGATCATATCACTTCCAAGTGTACTGGTCTGAAGACAGCACTGGTGGAACCACAATGGATCCTATAGCCACGCCCAGTTCCTATGTGTCCTACCACGTGTGGGAGTACCGAGACTGGCAAACACGAGGTTACCAACGACTTGGACCTCCTGTACAATCCATCGGATTCGCGATGCTCGTCAATGCAGACGTCGACTCTTCGGTGGGCTCGTCGGTACCGGATGGGGCGTGGCGGGAACCGTCACCGCCGCCATTCCATGATCCTTGGAATGTGTCGGATTGACTCTTGAGTAGCATGTTGGACAAAGATGCGGTTGTGCTTGCTTTGCATGTGTACTCTCATTGGGTTGTCTTGCTTGGTGCTGTGCATGTCGTTTCAGTGTGTCCGCCGCTTGCCGTAACAACTTTGAGCAGCTTGTTGGGTTGAAATGTTCAATAGTACAGTGCAGGGAGCAGCAGGATGGATCCTACCTCGCTACTTTGACTATGACATCGCAATGGTCGAGCAGGAACGAGTGTGGAATGGATTCGAATCTATGTTCCGGGTCAGTGGCATCCAGTAGCCCCAGACACCCTGGGACCGGCCCCGGACGACTCGACCACCTATCGGGAATGGCGCAAGGTCCACCACTTCGAGGTGTACTGGCCCAGGGAAAGCACGGGCGGCACAACCACAGGCACGGTTCTGCAACCGGTATCGTACGCCACCTACTACACTTGGTATTACAGGGACTGGGTCACCAGGGGATATCAACGCCTGGGTCGTCCACATCCTAGCATAGCAAGGCCAGTTTTCGCCTCGGGTGCACCGGACCTCATGTATGCTGGAATGACTTCCTCCTCGGCATCATCTAATTCGCTTGATAGCTGATCCCCGTCCTCGCCTCCCTGGAGAGGTGGACTATGATGCTGGCGCCGCGCAGTGTTACAAAAGTGGTCTTTTGCATTCTGATTGTTGACTTGCTCTCACTTGCTTTGTCTGCAGCCGTACACCTATCAACTTGTCTTTCCGCAATTGTGTTGTCATGGCTTGGCTGGAATGGTGCCCGGACCCTCAAGAACCAGATGCCCAGTGGATCAAGATCTTTCATCCGGGACCGTGGACGCCGCAAGAAGAACATGATGATCCACCTCCTCCGCATACTTTCCGAGAATGGAGAGAGTTCTATGCACCCAACCAGGCCTCCGTCGGAGAGCAGGCCCAGATCACTATGTGGTACAAACGAGACTGGGCCACAGAGGGCTATAGGAGAATTGCTGCCCCTCACGCAGGTCATGAACTTGATTCAGGGTATTCCTCCGATCATCACAGCGTGGCCACGCAGTCTGCGGCATTGAGTATGTCGCCAGAACTGTTAGACGCGATTCTCAGGTCCTCGGATGCAGCTGATTTCTCTACTGAGGAACTGACCCGTCTCCAGGAAGGGATTTCTCAACAACTGACAGCTCGTGCTCGTCTCGCTTCCCATCCTCATCAACCAGTACGTGCATCGCGAGGAAGCACATCATTGGAGACGATTGGGGTATCCGACCCCTACCGGCCCGTTAATCCTTCCGACAATGGCCGAGACAAGATGAGTCCCGTCTTCGAGCTCACTGAAGACTAGACTCGCATGAGCAGCGCAGCGTATAAAATAAGGGTGGTCTTTACACCTGCATGATCTTGCTTGGTTGTTGGTTGGACATGGTTGTGCATTGTGCTTGTTCTACTAGCCGGATCGGAGCCCGCGACAATCCTTGCCTCTTGCCTCGGCATGGACATCGATGATTCGAAACAACACCCATGGCTTGAATATTCGGTCTGGCATGATCAGGAGTGGGTGCGGATGTACACTCCAGGACATCTTCAACGATGGCGCCGCGGGGATCCTTTGCCTGATGTCCCTGAGAATTCGTTTCGTGAATGGAAACGGGTGACTGAGCCCGATGCGCCAGCCCAATCATGGGACATCCGTGACTGGCAACACCAAGGGTACCAGCGCATCTTGTCTCGGGTTGAGTCCTTCGCGACTCGCGATCCACATGACCAGGCGCTTGGTCAAGTTCGAAACTTCGATGCCGTGCCAGTGGAGGAGACATTCACCTATGCCACTCCGTTTTCTCAAGGTGATCGTCCGGCTGCTTCTCAAATCGCTTCAGTCCTCTATGGCGACACTCGCAATGCTCAACGTGGTGATCTTTCGTTCCCGTCTTCTGAGCGGTTTAGGGCGGTGTCTCGCTCCCCTCGCCGTGGAGGATTTTTTGGTCAACGTTAGACAATTGAGTGTGAGCATTTGATCTTCCGGCAGGAGAAAAGAGAAACTTCGCCCCTCGTAGAGGGGCGTGTGTGTGCGGAGTGACAGAATGCCCTGTCACCACTTTTTCGGTTTCGCAGCAGGGGCGTGTGGCACTCTCATCCTACCACACGCAATGAAGCTGTGGGTGAGAGTGGGAAGCAAGGCCTGATCAGCCTTGTGTACCTGCACCTTTTGAGTGATTCTGAAAGTCCTTTTGGCCCTCTTCTTTGCCGCTGTGTGTGCTTCATGTTGAACCCTGTAACGGTTTCGTCTCTAGAGGGAAATCACGTGACTGCAAGCCGAGACTCATCAGTTGTACTCGAGACTCATCAGTTGTACTCGAAACTCATCAGTTGTACTCGAAAGATTAGCACTCTCCATCTGGAGTTGAAGTGTGTGTTTGTGGGCAGAGTGAAGAGTTTGAGTTGGCCCTTGATGAAAGGGATTCCTTTTAGAAAATGAGCCATTGAAAGGAAGATGCTGTTAGTAAGTGGGCCAATCAAATGGGAATGCTTTTCTACAAATCAAAGGCAAGTGCTTATATGGCAGGTTTGGTATGGAGGTCGCTTGGTTTTGGGGTGACTGCTTGGGGGCTGGTACTTGATTTTTTCCCTGGGAAAAACTTGCCACTATTCTGGCACCCTTAAGCAATGGGGTGGCGCCAGAATTAAAAACACTTGTCATTATTCTAGTCCGGTTGATTAATTGTGTACCAAGATTAGCTCCCACACCAGTCATTGAACAGGGGGATATATTGTGTTCAGCGCAGTTACTTCAGTTGGCAGGGTCAACCATACATTATTTTGAAAAGACTGGAAAACAAGGTGTCCAGTTCAGGACACTGCATCTTGCGCACAAAATGCATATCTTTGCGCTATTCCGCTGCAAGCTTTGCCACCATCAAGACACATCCTCAAGGTATCCTTCCTTTCTGCGGACATCATTGCAAGAAAATCCTCCAATCAGCATTCTTATAGCAGATGTTGGCTGTTACAGAATCAATGATTGCACCAAGCGCGCTCTGCGGTGCTTCGGCCAGGTGACGGTGGAGTTCGACACCTGCGGAATCGCCAAATGCGGAACTTCCTGGTCGCCTTGTTTTTGAGCGCTGGCGCGCCCATGACCGGGTGCTGTCTTGAAAGTGATGCACGCAGTTGCGGCTTTGTGGGATTTAGGAACCCCCTTTCAGGTAGTTGGTGGACACCAATCTGCACCAAGTCACCATGTCCACCAGAGGGCCCCTCATAAAAAATCCAGGCCATGTGTTTTGGCCTCAATGTGTGCGAACATGACTTCGTGCGAGGATTTTGTACGGCGATGAGTACGGCCGGTCTCAAAGGGGCTGCAACAATGGCTGGTGTCAAGATGCTCGCTGCTGGTTTTCTTGGAGACGCCTGGCTTGGTATGTGGTCTTATGAAAGGGCGGGCCTCATCAGTTGAATTTGTCCGCAAATATGTGATATTTGCCTCTGACTTTGTTGCAACACAGTATGTTTGGTTTTGTGTTGCTGGTTAGGACTTGTCATTCATTGAGCTCCTTCAAGTTTACCAGCAAGGCCAGGAAAAGACTCTGACCGTGACGGGAGCATGTTCTTGAGCTGCAAGTGGGCCACGAGGTGACTCTGAGAAAGAAGAGAACGGCCTCATGCGCTCCGTGCGGCTGCTGATCTCCTTGAGGTGAGAGAGGGTTGGGTCAGACGCAAGATTCGGGTTGAATAACCATGCTGAGTGCCCGATTGAAGGGAGACCCCTGAACGACAGCGGATGGTTGGTTGAAACTTGATCAGGGTATATTGGATGATTTGAGCTGGATCAACGTTCGACTTGTGCCTCAGAATCAATGGCGCCTTGTTTGTGTATTAAGCGCTTCTCAAGGTGGGGAGTTTGTTTTGAGAGGTGCCAGCGTGTCCACGTCGTTGTCAGGCTGTGCATCCAATTAGCTAACATTACATGCCGTGGTGATTGAAGGAGAACACCTCCTGCGGAGGGCGTAGGTTGTGTAGCATTTTTTGATAGCTTTAACTTTGACCTTAACCAAAAGGCGCACGTATAAACGCATGCGCACGCACACACGTGCATGTGCAGGGCCGACCCACTTGGGCATGCAAGCTCAAGAGTCAGTTTACTTGGCACTTTTTTCTGAAGGGACATGATGAGCCGTGGGCTGGGTAAGAATCATAGCATAAGTGGCGCACCTAGATGGGCTTGAAAGCCGCAGTCAGAGCTATGGGTGATTCCCTAGGTGTTGCCAGTCAACCAGCCAAAACAACACGGTAAAGTGCAACAGGCATGTGCTTCCTTGCTTACAAGTTTTGGGCAATCCATTGTACCGAGCGCGATCATCTTGAGCATCACTTGAAAGCAAGTAGTGGCAGCGTGCTTGCTTGTCGATGACTGATCATTCATGTTTGGCAGCTGGCTATCTGGGCTCCCCTAAAAAATGGTAAAAGGAGAATTCAAAGAATTACTGTATCCTTTCTACTATTTTTCCAACAGCAACACAACAAACAGAAAACAAAATCCAGAACAACAAGCAAACAAAATAAATAGTCACAACCAGCAACAAACATATTTAATCACAGCATGCAACATTAAATAATTCAAACAAGCATACCAACAAAACAGCAACACTCTAAACCATCAAAGAACCCAAACTCAAAAACACACATCAACAAAAAACAAAGCAACATACCAACAAAAAATATCACAAGAGTATCAAACAAAAACAAACAGCCAAAGCACGGAAAAATTGAAGACGCATACCAAGTCTAAACAACGCACTTTGAAAGAGATAAGCAAATTAGAAAATATAATAATTCAATCTTTACAAACGATAAATATATTACAATTATAACATATAATATTTTACATGTGATAATCATAGTATGATTAAACCTGTTTTTAGTGTTTCCAGTCTCCTATGTTGTTCCAAGAACTGCTCAAAATGTTTCTGATATTATACCAGATTAAGTTAACGCCATAATCTTTCATTGGTGCTCTTTGTTGTATTAAATAACGCAACACTGATACCAAAGTATAATAATTGCAATGCATTGTTGTCATTCCTCCTCTTTCATTAATACTATTACCATTACGTTTAACGAGTTCTTCTTTCATTATGTTTTCGTAAATCTCTTTTATCCATTGATGATTTTGTTCTCCATACTCAGCGAACATATCTGGATATATATCTTTTATTGTTTTATCGTTTTTAATTATTTCAATGACTTGTTTATACGATGGATAGGGATTATCCTTAATGAAACTCAATATTATCTTTCTATCCTGTTCCAGCTCTTCTTCTGTCACTCCTATCATTTGCATTTTTCTCTTTTTTATATTAAGGCTTTATTCCTTTAAGTCATTTTACATTATAATTATAACATATAAGGTATAAATGTTATTATTATAGTAATTTCAGTTCAGGATAGTAACTTAATTGATTGAGCTATGCCTCTCATTTGGCGGGCATTTTGAGTGTCGCCCTCACAGGTAAATCCCTTTTACCTCACAGGTAAATCCCTTTTACCTCACAGGTAAATCCCTTTTACCTCACAGGTAAATCCCTTTTACCTCACAGGTAAATCCCTTTTACCTCACAGGTAAATCCCCTTTACCAAAGACTAAAACAGCATTGAGGCCGTCCATTTGTCGTAGGATGAACCTAGAAGTTTCCAGTTTGAGCCCAAACCCAAGTCCCTAATCCGTCAAACTCACTAAGATTTCACAAATTAATTCGCTAGGTATTTTGTATAAATCTTCCTGCTTATGTATTGTTGGATTGTCTCCCCATGTTTCCTTGTTTCCACTTGGCAAACGTTGCGCAGTTTCAATATGTTTATTATTCCTGATGTTGCCACAATCCTTTTTACACAAATCTCTAGGTTTCCAAGTTGTAATGTTATTCCAGAGCCTAGTGCGTTTTCTGTAAGGCATTCCATATTTACAGTAATCAACATCTTTAAATCCAAACTCATCCATAAACTCCTGATTTTTGAATAATCCAGTTTGTGGATTTTCGATTACAAAATATTTAGGATTAAAATATTTGATAATCTCGATAGTTTTTAAGACAATACTATTTGCATATTCGATATTCCTAATTCCCCTAGTTTTTGCTATGCTGTATTCAGTGCATGGGGGACTACTCCAAATAAAATCAAAATGGTTTCTGTCAAACTGTTTGTAATCCCACTCCAAAATATCAGTGTTGATATCAGCATTTTTCAAGTCTAATGATATCACATTAAATCCAAGCGACTTTGCTATGGTTCCGACGCTTTTTGTTCCGCTAAATAATTCTAATAAATTCATTTATTAGAATTATTTAGATTACTAATTATTCAAATAATGTATATACTCCATCATCATTTTTTGAAATTTTGTAAAATTCTCAAGTGGTGCTTTTAGGTTGTTTGATTTTTCCTGTATTCAACATATCACAGTATTTCTTTTGCTTTGTAGGGTAGTCGCCCGATGGTCTTCCTATAGATTTTGCTTGAAATATCTTTTCGATTTTTTCCTTCTCCTGCTGTTCGCTTTCAACTGGTTTCATTTTTTCATTTTTTCATATCATTTAAGGTTTTAATATTTTTACCAATTAATGTTATCTTCTTCATTAAATCATTAATAGTATAATTCTCATTTTCAGACATTACTATATATTTATTTAGATAATTATTTATTTAATTATATATTTATAAAGTGCAATTATGTTAAATCTACTCTTTAAATACTAATTTTTCATGATTTGTTCAATAGTTTCCTGCGTTTCGTTTTCATTATTATCGGTTGGTGTTGCTTGCCTACCAAATTTAAAAGTTATACTATGGACATACTATTTAAAAGCTATACTTTAGTTTTATCAATATTCATTTTCTTATCATTTTTACTTATTTTGAAACTTGTTGGAATACATGAACATTTACATGTTTTATTATTTCTAATTCATTTTTAAGTTCTAACATCTTTTTGCACATAGGACAAGCAACCTCAATTACTGCTGTTTCTTTAACAATTTCTCCGCTATCTTCATCTGTTGAAGAAACACTGAAACCTGTCTTATTTTTGTTTTTCTTTTTCTTTTTTACCATTTATATTCATATTTACATTTTTATTTTTGATATATTGTATTCCTAACTTAATTAATTCTAATGAGTAATAACAACATTTCTTAATTTTATTATCGGGTATTAGTATTTGTTCTATATTCTCCATTTCATCTATTATATTAGTATAATCTGTATAACTCCTTTTCATATTAAATAATAGGATAAATTATGTTTTCATTTCTGTCTTTCTTTTCTTGTAAAGTTTTTTCATTGTATCGTCTTTATTCCATCTATATTCTACAAATTTCTGATGATATTTTGAATTTAGATGTTTAAATAAATATTTGTCATCATAAGTTTTACCACAACTGCAATGGATAATAGTCATATAAATAATAAGATAAAATAGTTATTTAATCTTATTATTTTCATGCATAATAGAATATTGGTGGGGCTCAGCACTGTGGTTTCACTGCAACACGCAAGCGAGATACAAACTAATTAGCTTCAATGCTTATTGATTGTAGCAATGGAAAACCTGTTCCATTTTATGATATTCACCACCAGCATATCATAAAAAAGATGGTCGCGTTAGCACGCGAGGCTCGTTCCTCACGTCCATTTAATATTAACTAGAATATGTATTTAAACTATTTTCTTTAGTAAGCTTTATTGAAGTTGATAGACTAACATCTTTAATATTAATATCAATAACTTCTTGTACACTATTTATCATTTCATTTGTATACATATCGGGATAATCTTTCATAAAATTTACTAACTTTCTAAAATTAAAATCTAGGTTATTGTCATTTTCAATTGAGGACTTGGATACTACGATATTTTGTTTTTTAATTGCCGATAGAAAGTATAACATTGTATCATAATATATTTGTTCAGTGTCGGGCACTAAGATATCACCAAATTTATATATCCTCCGAATACTAGCCACTTCACTTAAATTAATAGATTCTATTGCCATTATGATATAATTATATTTTTTATTTTATAAGTATTTATAATATTATTTTTATTATGCCTGATGTAAAACCAATTGATGAAATCAAATATGACTTTAAGCAAAGTAAGCATGAGGTTGTCCCTAAATTGCCTATGAGAGCTATGATTGTCGGACCATCTGGAAGTGGAAAATCAACTTTACTTGTATCAATGATACTTGATATTTATAGAGGTGCATTTGAAAGAATTTTTATCTGGTCTCCATCAGTAAATTTGGATAGTATTTGGTTGCCTGTTAAAAAATACATTAAGGAAGGTTTGAAAGTAGATAATGATAAAGAACCGTGTTGGTGGGATGAGTTCAATGTTGAAGATTTAGAAAGAGTTATAGAAACTCAAAATAAAATAATTGAATATCAGAAAAAACAAGGAATGAAAAAGTTATTTAATATATTAGTTATATTGGATGATGTATCTGATAATCCAGCAATAACAAGAAATAACAAATTGTTAAATTCTTTATTTTGTAGGGGACGTCATAGTGGAATATCGACACTTGTCAGTCTTCAAAAATCATCAACCGTACCACCAATTATTAGGGTAAATATAAGTCATTTGTTTTATTATAAAGTTAGAAATTTCAAAGAGATAGAACTATTGCAAGAT